CGAGTGTCGATTAGATCGCTCGAGAGATATAAACATATTTCGGTTACATCCGAAACTGTAAAGGCTAAGCTAGCCTGGGCAAAACAGGTTGTCTATACTCCCGAAGAAGAGAAAAAGAAACCTGTATCGAAACGTTAGCGCTGGTTAGATGCGTCAGTTTTAAAGCCTGATGCCAAAAAGGCGAAATTTCGTGGCAATACTACCAATACTAAATCCTTTAGCGACACACTAAAGAACTCCATCACGATGGCGGTCTTTGATAAGAATGACCCTGTTGGCACTATTACTACTCGAAACTGGGATCAAAACGACATTAAGCTCCTAGATTTATATATTGAAGTTCTGAATGAAGTTGCAGGCACAACTCCTAAATGTCTCGACAGTGGTTGGTTGCTAAGGAGCAAATTTCAAGCCGACCAAAATCGCGTTCCTGTATTCCAGCCGAACCGTCTGATCTACAGCGGATTCAGTACGTTATTCGATTGGGAAACCCTGACATTAATATATCTACGTGGAAGGTCACTAAGCTAGAAGAAGCCAAAGGTAAATATAGGTCGGATAGTTTTGTGATCGACAAAGCCTCCCTGGCCATTTTGGTGAGATCTTGTGGCGTCTTAAATTCCCATAAATATGAGGGTTTATAAAAATGATGATTAGCAATCCTCACCTAACGTAAAGGACTCAGTTGGTTAAAGAACGCTTCGCAATCATTCCAAAGGCATATGGATTCCATCTTTAGGAACACGACATTCATTTTCCGCTGTTTCAATGACAGCCTGATCTTCTCAGAAAAATAAGAACCCAAAATTCGTAACGACATAGTACTGAAAACATGTAAAGATGCCGAGCTATATATAGAGATCAGAAAGTGTGAATTCGGTGTGAATCGGTAGGACTTTCTAGACTGCCAGAAGATCGTTTTCAACTCATTAGGGAGTTTCTGAACCCAAAAACGATATCTTATTTTCACCGATTCTAACGCATTTTGAATTGCTATCGCTAGTACACTTTAAATGCAGCACAGCTGCAGGTACCATTATCCGAAAATATTATGAAGAACGAAAAAACAGAGGTAATATGGAACAACTCCATAAAAGAAACATTAGAAGCATGTAAGTTCAGTATATCAGCGTTGATAAAGCTTATATATATGTCGCCATTATTTCCTATTGATAACATACGCAACTCGCATTCCCATCGGTGCAGCGTTAGAGCAGCAGATAGCAGAGGGATGGAGACCAGTGGCATATTTCTCGTCAAAACTAAAAGCAACAAGGTCGACAACAATGCGGTTGACGAAGAGCTGCAAGCGTTCTACCTAACAGTGAAGCACTTTAGACTTCGTAAAATTTATAAAATAATGACACCATATTTAATTAAGTTGGGTAGAAACCACAAACTCAAAACGTAAAAAAGGGCTTCTTTAACTTTTTTAAATGTTAAATATTTTAAAAGAATATTAAATTTATTGTAAAAGTAATGAAAATGATATGTAAACCTTGTAGTATATTCGCACTGCCTCATTTAAGCACTTGCTCATTTATTTTAATGAGGAAATGTTTACATTATATTTATCTTATTTACAGCTGATAAAACTTTTATGAACTTCTCTTCATAATATGTCAACAAAAAAAATTAAATATATAATTGATCTATTAAATTATTTATACACATTTTATATATTAATTACATATTTTATTAATAAAAACAAAGATTTTATTAAATGTTTACTTCCCCAATCCTTTTGTTTACAGCACAGCTGTTGTTGTTTATGTAGCATGAAAAACTCACCATGTGAGAACGTTATGGTGTGATGGAAGAAACTGATGAAAATGGACGTTTTCTGAAAGTTCCATTTAAAAGACTATTATAAAAATTTGCGTATTATTTGCGGTAAGATATTCAAAATTATTTCAAAATCATATATTAATAAAAATTTTCTCTTTTTTAGAATCAAACTTAAAATATCTCGCTGCTCTAACCGCAGCTGTAAATGTTATTTTTTGAAAAATGTGCAGCTTATTTGCGATTATGATTTAAAAATCTTGGGATGCTATGATCGCTATGTTAAAACTACTCACAATGCTTTATATGGGAGAAAAGCACTATCAAAAAATCCCTAGAAGCTAATTACAGGAAAAATAGTGATTCCTCCTCCACCATGGTTAATGACTCATTATAGAAATATTGAAAATGCAACCCAGCGAAAGTTTAATGCAAGCATATTAATGCTCGTAAATGCATTGAACGGTTGAATAAAGTTCTTAAAAAGGTTTTCGCATGCTTGTTATTTGGGCGTGGTCTAATGGTTAGCCCTGCTTAAATGGGATCTATGTATAATAAATGCCTGTTGTTCTCTGTATAATTATAGAAAACTCCATAACTTACCCATTTTGGAATTACAAGATCACTAACTAACAAAAACCGATTATTCAGTTATTCAGATTTGTACAGCTTCTTAAATGAAGAATGAAAAATACGCGACTCCATTACAAGGAATTATTGTCATTATTAATTTTTTCATTAATTATTTCATCTTTCGATTGAAAATCATATTTAAGTTTGTTTTAAGTTTGTTTTTATCATGGTTGTTGTATTTAATTATATATATATATATATATCACGAATACATTTTATTTAAATAAAATAAATGGTTTCACGATCATTTGGCAGATGACAAAAACTCAAAAAAAATTAGAAAAAATTCACCACAATTACATATACACTACAGCTGATCGTCATTAGTGGTTATAATGAGCAAAAACCGCCTATATGAGACAGTGTGAATGTACTTTTATGTACAATTTATATATATAATAATATTAGAAAAAATTAACTTACGTAGAACACATTAAAATCACTTCTCTAAAATTAACTTTGTTTTGGTTAGTTTTCTCCGTTTTACTTTATGACTTAATTTCCTTTCTAATAACATGTTTCCACTGCTTACTACGGTTCGCCATCAGTTAAAAGATAAATAAATGATAATAATTCTAGCATAGTTAAAGCTTATTGTGGGTAGGGAATAAGCCCCCCAACCATAAAAGAGTAAAAGTGCGCAATAGCACAAACTCAAACCACAACAAGAACAGCACTGCTTACTTACGAAATAAGCATTTAGTTACCAAGTAAAGTTTTTATTTAGTAAAAATTACTAAATAAATTTCATTACTTATACAAAGAGTTTGCGTGCTTTTTAACCAAATTATTAGATCAAAAATGTCGAATGCAACCCTTAAAAATGAATTTCCCATAAGGGAAATTACCATAATTTGAAATTCATGTCATATGTTTTATATGTAAATAAACAAAAAATCAGCAACTCAAGCAAGCAAAACGTAAGAACTTTTTAAAATATTTGTGTTGTATAAATAAAATATATAATTGCTGTACAAAAATATATAAATGAGTTTATATGTCAAATATATATTTCATTTCTTTATAAGTTGGATATCAATATAGAGAATGGACTCGAGCTCACAAGTTTGTATTAAAAATTTATAATTTGTTTGTAATTTAATAAAGCAAAATTCATTTAATTGCAGGTAAACACAAAAAAAAGAAGCAGAAATTCGTGGACTGAAGGTGGCGTGCAATTATTTCTAGAACTGTGGGCGGAGAATCTTCCTCAATTGCGAGGCCCCCGGCGAAATGGCCACATATTTAAGGATATGGCCAAAGAGATGTGTGAAATGGGGTACATGGTAACCGCTTCGGAAGTGCAGAGGAAAGTGCACAACTTCACCCAACGGTTTAGGTAAGTGTTATTAAATGAAATTTATATTATTTATATATTTAAATAAAACGTTGAAAAGTTTTTATTTTTTAATATGTACATATATGCAACTCATATAATAAAAAAATATTTGAATGCTGTAATATTATTAATTTTTTGTGTTAATTTTATTTGTTCTCATTAATCAATTCAATTTAATTGTTTGTTTATATTAAATCAGGAAGGAACAGCAGTGTGTTGGAGTTTTGGCCGGGATGTCAACTAACTGGAAGTACTTTCAGATATTGCAAAGAATTCTAGGCAATTCACCCATACATAACTCCATAGAATTAGTTTGCGAAAGTATAGCAGGTGAGTTTTTATAATTTTGTTTAAGTTCGTCAAAATAATGAATTTCTTTGTTAATCAGACCAGGTCCCGTCTTCAAATGATGCATCATCTCCATGTTCATCGGCAGATCCAATACCTAATTCTGAGTTGAATGATTCTAAAACACCTGCAGAAAAAAGAAAAAAAAGAAAGAAAAAAGATGTAAATGAAAACCTTTTGGAACAGTTTCAGAATTTGGTGGAGGTGGAGAAACGTCGCATCGAGCTGCAGGAACGCACAGATGAGAGATTTTTAAATTTAATGAAAGCAAGCAATGATACTTTGTCGCGTATCGCGTCAATAATGGAAAGAGGCTTTCTGTATACACGAATCGCTGAACACAATAACATCAGCAATGACTAAGCATTTTTGTTGACTTGGCAGCGGTGAACGATTATTATTTATTATAATTTATAATTATTATTATTACAATATTATTAGTTAGATAAAGTTGTTTTCTTCTTTTCCATGTATTTAGAATAGTAAGATTAAGTAATTAACCTAATCTAGGTTAACTTCTAGTTTTAAGTTATACTATTTAGATTGGAGACAAAGATTACGTTAGGTTTAAGTTGATATTTTTTAAGTGTATCTTGTAAATAAAATAAAATGCACTAAAAAAATATAGCTAAGCATGTAGTCTTATTTCTTCTCTATTTGGATCGTGGTCATTCAGTGTTGAAACTTCTTCTGGTCCTTGACATTCTAAAGCTTGCTGCTTTCTTTTTAAAACAACTTTGTTCTTTTCTAAAATAGCAACTCAATTAAATTTTAGACTTTATTTAATATTTACTGGCCGTACTTACCAATGTCCAGCTCTTCATCCAGTTTCTATCAAATGTTTTAGAAAGTAGTGCTATTGCACATTTGTTTTCTGTATTCATTTATTGCTTTATTCATGTTGTGAACAATTGTACAAATATGCATATATTAAATTGTTTTCATTTTCTACGTTCAATTAATTGATCCATGATCAGTTAATAAAATTCTGATAACATACAAAATTAAATATATTCTGTTTACAATCGAAATGTAAACAAAGAAAATTTCTCCCACAACTTTTACAGAATTTTCTGACTCTGACGGTTTTTTCACATCCAATAAGTAACTTATGGAAATGAAAACAAAGAAAACTTAGAGCTGCTTAAGTAACTTACTAAGTGAGCAGTGGAAACATGCTATAACTTACAACTATAAATTTAGTCAAGAATTTATTTCAATGTTCACATAAACCAGAAGTAATAATAAAAATATATTATAAATAATAACACGAATTTTATCTTTTCACTCATTACTATCTTCTACTCAATTCCTATTGGTTTTGTGTACTGAAACATGCAACTAGTAAAAATTGACGCAAACTTTACTTATGGCTCACTTATTTTGCTGCAGTTAGTGGATTAAAATGATTTGATCCTGTTGAAAAAATAATGAAACCAATATATCCACAATATTTCTCTTCTGTAATTTTTTAATATTTTCTTTTTACTTTCGGAAGAGAATAATGAACAGCGAAAGTAAAAAGAAATACGCAATTTTTGAATACCAAATAAATGTTAAATTATTTATCAAAAAGTTTTATTATTTCAATCTACAGATTTCATCAAGTATAGCAAGCATCAAAAATCAATGCATTAAACTAATTTCCAAATATTACTCAAGTGTGGCATGGACCTATAGAAACACAATTAATATTGTGTTTATTCAGAAATTGTTTATTTCTGTATTGTAAAGTATTGTTCTTTTCAATACGTATTAAGGGTATTTACTCTGTCTTACAAACTCATTGCAAGGTGCGCATTTTCAATGCCTTCATAATTAGTTTTTTTATATTTCATACACATCAATTGTTTTTACTAATATAGTTATCGTAATAATAACAGAGGCTAATGAACACTGACTCTGAGCTTCGAAATAAGCGGTCTTAAAAGAAACACATAAATTAATATTTAAATATAAGATGGGTATTTGGCAATACTCAAAACAACTGTGTGGTCACGCGGAAATTCTATTAAATAAAAATAATAAAAAAAATTTTTGATTAAAACTTTGCCGGGCTTTAGGTCGCACTACACCTATTGATCAAAAAACAGCACTAGCAGCAAATTGTTGCTATTTCGATGAAAACTCTTCACCGGGAAAAAAATCACAAACGTATAACATTGCTAGAAATGCTACATATAATTGACGTACCAGATGGTCAACAATTAAACCATAAGAGGGATACTGAAGGCTTAGCACAAATTTATAGATCATTAATCAAAAATTAATTGCTATTTCTATTTGTATATTCACAAAAAAATTTAAAAAAAATTTTTTTTCTAAATTTGTTTTTCTTTTTGGCTTAGTCAAACACTTGTTGCCATTCTTATTAAAAATTAATTTCCTTCTTCATACTTTTTTGTTTTATTATTTATGTGACTTTTGACATTTTAATCTTTTTTAAATAATTGTATTTGTATAATTTGTAATAACACTGAACATGGCCTACGAAATAGACTGAAATAATTGTTAATAAAATATATTACATAAATTAATCATTGTGATATTTTCATTTAATTTAAAATTTGTTTTTTATATAATAAAAGTTAGTATATAAAAATATAAATTCAAAACCACGACCTAAAGCCCGGCAAAATTTAAATCATAAACATTGAGGTCGACACTAATACAAACATTCTAAAAATTTTTTGTTGTAATTTACTACTGTTCGATAAAAACCTCTCTATCGAAATCAATTTAGTTTCTTTTGTCAAAACAGACGTTAATAAAAATCAATTTAATTCAGTTATTATTAAATTTATTAATAGTAGACCTAGTATACCACAAAACTGGTATAAGATATTTGAATTTAACAATTGGTCTAACTTTACTAAATGCCAAATGCAACACTGATCCATACAGCCGTGTATGGGACTACATTTTAAAATTGTATCAGTGATACAAGCGAGCGGTAAAGGTAGTGTTGAAGTAGTTTACAATTTTGTGGTTTTAAAGAATTAAATCGCTATTTATTATGGAAAATAGCGATGAGGATGATACGTCAAGCGATTCAGTCGATGAAACAGAAAGCGATATTGAAGACATAGAGGAAAATGCTTGGACAGATAAGACAGCAGTAAATGACAGTCAACTTGACACAGAAACTATAAAAATTGACTGCGAACAACTCGTTAAAAGCTTACATCGCTTAATAAAAGAATTGCCAAATAAGGAATATGGTTCTACAGTGGAAGATGCTTTAAAACTAAATGAAATCTTAATAGAACAATTGGAAAATTTAAGAAAACTGTTTATGTCACAAGTGGCGCGGATTCGGTCGCGGCTGAAATTGAATGCAATGTTGATAAAAGTAAACAAGAAAAGGACATACAACAAGGTCTCTATTCGAGGTGCATTACTAAAAGGTGCCACATTTTATCTGGAAGGCAATATGTTTTTTAAAGATTTTTCCGGGCATGGAGCTCCAAATAATGCTGATTACATCCAACGTAAAAAAGAAGGAGAATTTTTTCCCATGGATTTAGGGTTGGTTAGCAGACATTATTGGACTGAAAAAGATAAAAAATCTCTTGTTTGTGGTATAAAAGAACAGGTAACTTATTGATCATGTGAATACATAATTATTTTTTGATAACTTCACAACTTGTTTTTCAGTTAGTAAATAGATTAATAGAAAAGAAATTAATAAATGTAAGATGGGAAAGTAAGGAAGATTATTTGTGCTCTTCTAAATTAAAAGATTTATTGGATAAAGTGGATGCTAAATTCTCAATGGATTGGTTTCAAATTTCTGCTGGGGATCTCAAACATAGACATTCTGAAACATCATGTGAGGCAATATGGAATGTTTTTCTACATCCGTCACTTAAACGTTCAAAATGGTCTAGAGAGGAAAATAATCGCCTTATAACAGCTGCACAAAAATATAATTTTCAAAATTGGGAGGCTATTGGAAAAGAAGTAGGCGGTCGTTCTGACTATCAGTGTTACATACAGTACAGGACAAACGCCTGCTATAACTTACCAAATCGTTTTAAAAAGTGGGATAAAAATGATGATGCTAAATTAATTGAATTAGTAAATAAAAATACCACCAATAATGTTACTGATTGGACAACAGTAACATCTTATTTTAGGTTCAAACCTAAAGGTGACGTTATAGCGCGTTACACCACCAGATTAAAGCCAAACATAAATCATAGTAAGTATCAAAACATTTATTAAAATAATATAACATATAAATATGTTTTAGACCCATTTTCACCAGAGGAAGATCTCCTACTTATTGGTCTTGTTAAAAAGTATGGAGAAAAATTTAACGCTATACCACGTCAAATGTTTCCCGATCGTACTATTCTACAACTACGTAATCGCTACTTAAATACCCTGAAGCATCGTCATAGAAATACAACGTGGACGTACGAAGATGACAAGAAATTAGCAGAGTTTGTTTCGGAACATGGTACATCAAGTTGGTTGCAATGTGCTGAATTGCTAGGCAACCATACACGTACTAGTTGTCGTACACGTTATTTAACAATTAAAAAATTTTATGAAAAAAATCCAAATTCAAATCTTAAAGACTTACCACGACACAGAGTTTTAAAAAGTGATAATTTGATTAGAACGGATATGTACCAAACTCAACTTAAATTAGTAGAAACTGAACAAACTAATAAATTAAAATATCAGTCACTTAAAACTAAGAAACCAGGAAGATCGGTAAGATACTCAAAGGAGGAGAAAGAAAAGTATTTATTTGAAACATTGCAGTCATTGGAATCAGAAATGCATGAGCGTTTTAAATTTGGCCATGACTACAGCGTGTTCAATGCTTGTTATACAAAATGGCCATTAAGCATTTTAGCTAAAAATATTATGGCGAATACTTTAAAAGTACATACTCCAACACCTATAGATCATGTACTGCTATCTCACATTCCAGTCTGTTTTCAAAAAACAGTAGCAGAGAACATGCAAATATCCAACAAAAATTTAGACTGTTTACCACCTAATTACTCATCAACAATTGGATATAGAGCACTTTGTTTGTTAGGAGATGTTTCTAATACGAAAAATGAAAAAAAGGTATATCAAAGTGCCGCTGTAAAGCTCTTTGAAGAGCGACTAATGTCAACGTTTTTTAGCGTTGCTATAACATGTACCTTGAATCCAACAAAACTAAACACAAAACCACTTTGTTTAATAAATGAAGATGATCCATATAGAAATAATGAAGAAAAGATCGTTTATTGCGATAGATATTACATAATACCAACAGATGTGAATGAACCACAAAAACAAAATAATGAGATCAGTAGTAACTCAAATTTAATTATAAATAATGAAGATTGTTCCAGCTTAACTATAAAAGCTGAATCAACTGAAGAACCTATTTTGAAAAGAAGAAGATATTTGCAAAACAACGTATCTTCAGACGATATAACAAACACATCAAAAACTATTAATGGAAGTGCAACTATATTAGGTAATACCGGTAGAGAACTTGAAAGATTAGAACTGCCGTCGTGTAGTTTAGAGCAGCCTGGTACTAGTACGAAT